ATGTCCCTTGATTTTAGAGAATTTTTATTGATTTACCATAACATTTTTTCTTTACTAAACAACACATTTTATTTTTTCCTCATGACAAGATTTTTTACACAAAAATTTCTTCTGTTTCCTTTTGTAGTTCCATGTTGCTATATATTCCACTAGAGGCCCAATGCACGAAATCTGTGCAAGAGTAGGCTTTCCTTCCCCCGGTGCTGGCACTGGCTTCCCTCAATTGCCCCGGCTTCATCCGGAATGTCATCTGGAAGGACGTCCAGTCTAATTAGCATATTATACTTTTATTGTTATAGATTGATTGCTGTTTTCAAAAACAGCTGTGTTCTGGTTTTGGTATGAGAACACTTCAAACACAAAATAAGACTCTCTAGGATTTTAAGTTTTTAACATGATAAAAAATAATATTTGATGTTATGTTTTGGAAGCTTCAAATTTTTATGAAGCACTTTTTATGAAGTATTTTTGTAGTGTGGCTACCTTGAAAATGTGGACTTAGCACACCAACTCTGGATGACAATTTCACACTCCCTAAGGATTTTACTTTAGCGTGGTATTCCTGATATAATCGGAACACTTCGGTATGATATTACATAACTATTTTATTCTACGCGAACAGTTCTCCTTTTCTTCTAATTGGGGTATTCTTCCTACCAAAATGATGATATTTTCGTTTTGGAATGCCAATGCTTAGACATCACAAAAACATTGAATTCTCACCTCAGAATTTGTTTAGTAGGACGATAGAGAGGCAGAGAGACACTATAACAAAGAGAGAGCAAGAACCGTACTTAAACCCCAAATCGTTTATGCCACAGTTATTTTAAGATTAGAAAGAAGTCCAGGTTCCAAACAACAAATAGCAAAGAGTTAATATGAATGTAGGTGCCCTTTTGGATTCTAGAGTCACTCTTGTGCTTGAAGAAATAAATGGGCAGCTCTCTGTGTTTCAAGAATGGTATTAGGGTTGCCAACTTTATTGGCAGGGAAGCCCATAAATAGCAGTTTTATGAGAACTTCTGTCATTTACGCCCTGACGGCCGTGACCTGTATGGGGTGAGACTATCCAGAGAGGGAACCCCTCCCCCTGAAGACTGTTAATGAGCAGCATTGAGAGGCCTTGAAGATAGTTCTTTTTATAACTTTCTTGTAGCTATTATCGCATCACCTCAAGGCTAAACTAACAGTAAACATGCAGGAAGGAGGCCACCAACAGTGATTTGGGAGACTCCTAAAATGGTATCGCTGTGCCAAGAAAATCGTTGAGATTGCAACATCGTTCTAACATTAAGCTTGAAATCCGATTGGTTTAGGATAAAATGAACTCGGCTGCTATATTTGGCTCCAGAAATGAACCTTATATGACAGTCAGATGCAAACATACTGCATTGATTACATACATGGGACAAAAATAAAATAGTCCTCTGGGACATGACAGCCTCACAGAATTTATGAAACCAGTTGTGCAATGTCATAAAAATGACAATGTTTCGGGTGGATCATGGCCTTCTGTTTTGTTATCTAGGTTAAAACCATGGCAGATGGTGCCTTGGGAGGATCTGACATGGAAAATTTGTTGCAATCGTTGTATGTAGAGAATAGAGCTGGATTCTTCTTTACTAAATTCTGTGAGCATTCGGGGAACGAGGTAGAAAATTATTATTTTAAACATAATTTTATACTTCATTTTAAAATAAAGGTTGAAATAATTCAGTACTCACATAATTATACTTGATGTTAACATTCCATCTCTGGTAAGAAATTTCATACTAAATATTTAGGTTCACTACCCTGCTTAAATTTTAAAAAAGTAAAATACAGATAGACAAGAATTGACTTGCACTGTTAACAGTTCATTTTCCTATAACTTTGTTTCAGTGTAATACATTCTATTCAGAGTTGATTTCTAGCCTATAGTTTTATTTTTTGATAATTATGAGAATTAAAAATTACAGTGGGTAGTAGAAAACTTGTTTTTTAATGTTGTTGTTTTTTAATCAGAAAGTCTTCACTGTGCTCAAATGAAAAGTATTTCACTAGTTCAAATGAAGAGTTCTGTTTGGTTCTGGTATGATGTACATTTGCCCATATATATCAAAATACCTTTAGATTTGGGGTTCGTGCCAGAAATATGTGAGTGCTCTTTGTTAACTAGAACACTTACTATTTTAATGACCAATTATATGAGAAGAAGCACACATGCAAAAATATAATGTTCTAGTGAGTACCAATAAATATTTTGTATGTTGCCAATTTGTGATAAAATAGAAAACTATCTTAAATGGAACATGATTTATGGTAGCAGCAAGAAGCAAAAGCAGTTGTTTACATCTGAAGTCAGAGCCTTGAAGAGCTTTAATAGTTGGGTGGTCATCTGTGCTTTTTCCATCGGCAGCTGTGGAAGAACAGCGTGTACTTCTGGTTCGACCTACAGGCTTATCATCAGCTTTTCTACCAAGAAACACTTCACCCTTTTAAAGTATGCAAGCAAGCCCAAGTAAGTAGTAAATAATGCTGGCTCCCTGCGAGGCTCTGAGGACACAGAGAAATGAGAAATTGTGTCCAGGCCCAAACAAGAGAAATCTGGGAGTGCAGGCACAAAGCAACAATTAAGTTTTTGCCACGGGGATCACTTTATTGAAATGTCAGCAGAATATTGTTTTTATCATCTGGTCTGTGGGTCCTCAGTTTTATCTTTTTTATTTGGTTTGCTTTCTTTTCTCTTTGCTGCCAATATTCTTTCTTTTCTTTCTTTCTTTTTTTTTTAAATTATGCCTTTTGGTATGGCCATGAATGATTTAGAAGAGAACCCCGAGAGAGGATATGTAACGAATCATGGAAGTGATGGGGAGTGGAGGCATTGACAAAGCTGTTCTCTGAGCTTCCTGCAGAAATTGACTGTTGGATACACTAAAGCTGCTGACCTGTCTGAAGGGAGGGAAAGAATGTTGACTGTGGTGTAGGCCCTGTGTGTCGCCTGGGCTTCTGTGCTACACACGATATAAGGCAGATACTCAGAGAAAAGACTATCTCTAGACCTCCCTGAAGCAGAATAGAAGAGGAGGGGAAATGGAGGCTGAACAGAGGATTCTCTGTGAGAGACAGAGTGGCCAGTTGTTTTGTTTTGTCGTGTGTGTGTATGTGTGTGTGTGTGTGTGTGTGTGTGTGTATGTGTATGTTGTGGAAGAAGGAGAGGGATTAGAATTATGAAACTGACTTTTCAGTTGTTTTATATTCTTAAGCTCTTCTGATCTTTTATAGAGAGAGGTTGTCAAGCCTCGAAAACTGCTAATCACTTTGGGTTCTGTTAAACATTTCAGCGGTCCTTAAAATCTGAATTAACCCCATTCCAGAGGAACTCTCCCTGAACAAGGCTGAGATGAGCTCTGTCGTGTTATTTATTACCCTGCCATCATCTTATTTAGGGCATCCAAGAACACTGCTGCATGTTTGCTGCTCCTTCCACCACCCTGACTCTGGCGTTAATAACGGTGCTTTGCAAATCAGCGGACAGAACTTTGTACTTTTCACCGTGAGAATAAGGGCTTCAGTTTTACACAGCCCAGCTCTGGCTTCATGAAATCATGAATTTTATCTCTAACTTGCCAGTACCATTTTCTGAGACCACACAGCTAGCTCTTCTGCTTGTCAATCCTTTACCTGTGATTCTCTATTTATCATTCTCCCCCTAACCTATTGCCCCTGTCTGCTAAAGTACCATCCGTTATTTTTATTATGTTTTCACTACTACAAAGCGTACTCCAAAAATCTTCAGTGGCTCAATTAAGTGGGATCTTTGTTGTTGTAATCACCATATTTCCATGAACTTGTAAAAGAGGAAATTGTATTTGAGCTTAGTAGACTTATTAATTCTTAGTAATGATGTTATTCAACCAGCTATGAGTAATTGTGAAACAGGATACAGTCAAGTTTTATCCATTCTGAGATGGATGATTCTGTTTGGCGATTATCAAGGTCCATAAACTTTTTCTTCTTTTGTAGGTTATCTTTTGGGGCCTCAAGGTGGGGTGGGTGGAAGGGAACATTGGAGAAATTGGCTTTAGTGAATAGGGAGAAATAAAAGGAGCAAGTCATGTGTTATTTTCTTACTTGGTTACTTTATTTAATTTTTAGTTAGTGGGACAATTATCTAAATTTGTTTAGGTTTTAATTACTTTAGATTTCTGTGCCTCCCGATATAAGAATTGACTAATACCATAGCTCTATAGATTTATTTCACAGTATAAAATACCATTTATGTCTTTATAATAGAAATGTATGGCTTTCTTTCATGGTACATTTAGCTATAGATCTTTGGGTTGATAATGCTGACGGCAGGACGTTATCAGCTGGTGCTGTGTTAAAGTGGCTATGAACTTGATTTTGTATTGTTTTTATACATCTGGCAAGCTGTATAGTAAGAGACCCAGAGTTGATTCCAAAGGCGTACATGCTTTTATGTATGCTAGTAGGCAGATTATATCCCTTGAAGTTTATTACCTCAACAAGTATTGCAGACGTATCTGTAGGCAAACTAGTTGGTGTGTGTGTGTGTGTGTGTGTGTGTGTGTGTGTGTGTGTGGAGGGGGGTCAGTGACAATGATTTAACGTGACTAACTGAGGTTAGGAGTTGGAACTACAGTCTTGGGCACGCCCTGAAGACTTTCCTGCATGGCTTCAACAGAAAAGTGTGGTGAGAAACCAATCGAAATGGTTTTGGCAAGGAGTTAGGGAATCTATAAGGCAGGGTGACTCTAGCAACAATTTACCGGGGGACTATCTATGACTGCTAAGCTTTGGGGCCTACATTGCATCCCAGATAGCCCTACTGCTTTCTGACATTACATTCCTGCTTCAGTGATAGGGTACCTAGAATAGAATGAAGCAGATCTGGGCACCACTGTATTTTGTAACTTCCATCTTTGTAGAAATCTTTCAAACGCACTGTATCCCTATAAAAACTATACATTTAGAATTTACCACTCTGGACAACATATACATTGGGATTTTAAAAAAATAGTAAGCATGTATGATTCATAAATATACATGTTTACACATATGTATATACATATACAAACATGTACAAAATTAAAAATATTTTTAATGGGAAGGAGGAAGAGAGAAAAAAACAGTAAAAATGAGAGCCTATGAGAAAAATAATGTGGAGCATGTAGGAATTAGAGCATAGGTAAGGATGAAAAGGAAATGAGAAATAAGAGGATTCACAGCTCTTCTACCACAAAGTCCTGTTAATATAAAGATATTCTTGCATCAGTGTGAGGTTTTTGCCTTTTTGATTTGAACACTAGAGTAACATATTGTTATATTCATGTATCACCTAAATCAGAGTCTATATGTCATAGAAGGGAAAAAAAATCAAGAACTTGCAATGGAAACACATGAATTTAAGTCACATTATGGTAGTTATTGGCTGGGTAAGTCGGGCACTTTAACAAGCCTCAGTTTCATGTTTTGAAAAATGAAGGTAGTAATAATGTTTTACATTTTATTTCCTCCTATTTCTGTTTTCACCCTTCTAATTTGAACACATATACTAAAATTAACAAAGTACACAATCATTATATTTATCGTCCTCTCAAACAAGTGAAGGATCTTAGAACACAAATTCTACCACACCTCGCACATTTTATATATTCTTTTTTATAGCATTTAAAATTTTCTTTTACACCCCTCATGTAGTCATCATTATATTTTTAAATAATGTATAGATTTAGTCATACACAAATTTCATTGCTTTTTTCATCACATTCCTTTTTTGGGGGGTTAATTCATGAAGAACATATTTTAGTGGGTTTTTTAAATTAGGATTTACTAGTGGTGAAAATCAGGTTTCGTTTGTCTGAAAATATCTATTTTATGCTCTTATTGATCATTTAGCTGAATATAGAACTCTAGGCCGACAATTTCTCTTAGGACTTTGGAAATATTATTCCACTGGTTTGTATTGCTATTATTGTTCCTTGAGGCTGGATACTTTTTATCATTGTTTGCTTTTATAATATTCTCTGACTTTGGTGTTTTTTATTCACCTCAGTGTGTTTACTATAATTATCTTTCTTGGGTCTAAATTACTTCTAGAACCTGATAAATGATGTCTCATCAATTCTGGAAAACCCTCAGCCATTATTTCTTTTAGTATTTCTACTTCTCTTTTCTGTACTCTGTCATTCTCTATCCCCTGTCCGGTCAGTGTTTGTGCTTATCAATCCTCTATCTCTAGTTCAAGTTTTTCCATCTTTTACTATCTGTATTGTGTGTTATAAATTGAAATAGATAAACTTTCTTTGATCTGTTTTATAGTTCATGTATTATTTCTTCTTTTAATATTTTATTGATTTTTTTACAGAGAGGAAGAGAGAGGAACACAGAGAGTTAGAAACATCGATGAGAGAAACATCGATCAGCTGCCTCCTGCACACCCCCTATTGGGAATGTGCCTGCAGCCAAGGTACATGCCCTTGACCGGAATTGAACCTGGGACCCTTCAGTCCACAGGCCAACGCTCTATTCACTGAGCCAAACCAGTCAGGGCCATGTATTATTTCTTCAGCAGATTTTAATCTGCTGTTTAACCCATCCATTGAGTTAAATCATTTTAGGAATTAGGTTTTTTTAAATCAGACTTCCTACTTGTGTTTTTTCCAGTCTTCCTTCTGTTTATTCTCTTTGTCTTATGTTTTCATGTTTATCTGTCCTTTTATTTCTTTAAGCACTTGAAACAAATATGGAAGTCTGTAGCTGCATTATTTATCTATTCCTGCACAATAGTATTATAACTTTGTGGCTTAAAACAACACACATTTATCATCTACAGTGTATGTGGATAAGGAGTCTGGGCACAGCTTTGCTGGGTCCTCTGTGAGGCTGTAAATCAAGATGTTGGCCAGGGCTGGTGTCTCATCTGGGGCCCAAATGGGAAAGGATCTCTCTCAGTGCTTTCATGGCTGTGAGCAGCATCCAGGCTGCTGGACTGAGGACTCACTGTTTTGCTCCTGTTCACTAGAGGCCACCTCAGCTCGGTGCCATGTTTTACTTGCTTAATCCCCTGTCCATATTGGCAGCTCACGACATGGCAGCTTGCTTCTCCAAAACCAGCCAGGGAGAGAGTGTCTTAGTAAGATGGGCATCACCCCCTTATGGAACATAATCACATATACACAGCCACACAAATCTCTTCACGATTGCTGCATTCTGTTGGTTAGATGTAAGCCACACATTGTGCCCACACTTGGGGGAGAGGATTGCAAAAGGGCATGGCCACTAGGAGATACTGTGTTCATGGGAGCCACCCTAGAGTCTGGCTGCTACAGTGTCCAATAATTCCATGATTTGTAGTTCTTAGGAGAACTAATTCTGCTATTTAGGATTTCTGCTGACGTGCTGGATTCTTTCCTTGTGTATTTTGTAATTTTAAATTATGAGCTCATTAGTAAGGTTTTTATCTTTGGTGCTTCTGCTAGGCACATTTAATATATA